GGAGCCGGGTCTTGCTCCCAATGGTACACAGGGGAGGTGCAGCGAGAGCTAGGAGAATGAATACTGGCTCACACTAACTGAAGTCAGGAGCCCCGGTGGTACAGTGGTTAAGCAGCTGCTAACCAAAGGGTCAGTGGTTTGAACCCAGGAGCCACTCTACAGAAGCAAGCTGTGGCTGTCTGCTTTTGTCCAGCAGGAACAAACCCTATGGAAACCCTATGGGACCGTTCCACTTGGCCCTCTAGGGTTACGAGTTGCAATCGACTCAGTGACAATGGAGGTGGAATTTTTTGGTTATTTGCGAAAGCCACGATTAGTGCGCGTAACCCTGCCGTCCATGTTCATTCAAGCAAGACGAACCAAAGTCTTATGAGGGAGAAAAAGGACCCACCAAACTTAACTGCCATCCAGTGCATTCGGACTCCCAGCAACCCTATGGGGCAGGGTAGAACTACTCCTGTGGGTTTCCAAGACTAGAACTCTTTACAGAAATAGAAAGCCTCATCTTTCTCCCTGGGATTGGCTGGTGGTTTCAAACTTCTGATCTTGCAGTTAGCAACCCAATGCATAACCACTACCCCAAACCAAACGCCACCGCCATCGGATCAATACTGACTCATAGCGACGCCAGAGGACAGGGCGGAACTTCCCCTGTGCATTTCTGAGACTGTAACTGTTTACGGGAGTAGAGAGCCTCGGTTCTTTTCTTCTCAGAGCTGCTAGTGGTTTCAAACTGCCAACCTTTTGGATCACAGCCCAATGCATAACCACTACGCCAGTGGTTCTCAACCTGTGGGTCCCGACCCCATTCGGGGATAAAATGACCCTTTCACAGGGGCCGCCCTATTCATAACAGTAGCAAAATTACATATTTGAAGTAGCAACAAAATAATGTTATGGTTGGGGGGTCACCACCACACGAGGAACTGTATTAAAGGGTCGCGGCACGAGGAAGGTTGAGAACCACTGCACTACACCATCAGGGCTCCCTGTCACCAACACACAGGATCGTTATTTCTAGCCATCATACCTGAGCAGAGGGACAAAGATGACCCTAAGTCCACCCTGTCAGGAAGTGCTTGAAACCTGTCTAGCACCAGCACATCCTGCTTCGCACGCATCTCTCCACAAAGGACAGGGTGAGAGGCCTCCTACAGGCTCCAAAGCAGGGCTACAGGGTTCGTAGTTCAGGTCTGCCACTGGCCAGCTCTGCTTTCTCCTGAGGAGATAACTTCAGTCCCTTGGTTTGCCACCCCACCCCCCACCGCCCCCATACAATGGGGTAATGAGAATGCCTATCTCCTAAAGGTGTCGGAGTTTTACCAACCACACTCACTGCCATCGAGTCAATTCTGCCCAGAGTGACCCTACAGGGCAGAGTAGAACTTCCCCTGTGCGTTCCTGAGATGCTCTTTATGTGAGTACGCTGCCTCATCTTTCCACCCACAGGGCCGCTAGTAGTTGCAAACTGCTGGCCTTCGTCGTTAGCAGCCTAACTCTTAATCAACTATGCCACCAGGGCTCCTTGGGAGTTATTTCAGGAGTTACTAAATACCTGCTACAGGCTCAAGTTCCAGGAAATGAGAACTCCCAACTTCCACAAAAGCTCCCCGAACAGTCCTGATGTCTGTCTTACAATAATCTCCACCCCCTCATCCGCCATCCTTTTTTCCTTGGAGTCTGCCAGGCCGGGGTCCAGCCATCAGGGTAGAGACCATGTGTATTACCAATGGTACTCTCTTCGAGCCCAAAGCCCAATAACAAGAGCAGGGTTGGTCTTGGACCTCGGGTAGTTCCACCTGGAAAAGCCAGAGGGGGCCCACATCTGGAGCATCTCTCTCTAGCTTCTCAAGACTTGAGATAATCCTTGCCCTCCCAGGACGGCTCTTCCCTGCTGCCTGCTTCCTGGCCAGCAGACATTCATTTCCAAAGGATTCTGGATGCAGAGAGCAACTCCTTCCAGAGGGGGGTAGAGGGGAGAGCACAGGGGAGAAACCTGACAGACAGGACCTCAGCCAGAGGACCAAGGTCAACATCAACAGTGATAACTACAGGCTGACAGCGTGCACCCTTGAGACAACGGGATGAGATTGGCCAAACCCCAAACCCAAACCAAGCTGATACCAACTCACAGCAATCTATTTAAAAACAATAAACCTACTGCCATCGAGTCCCTTCTCTTAGGAACCCTCTATGGGTTGGGGGGTGGGGGGGTGTCCAAGATAAGCCTTTTCTTTCTCCCGAGAAGTGAGTGGTGGATTTAACCTGCTGACCTTGAGGTAACCAATCCAACGCTTTGCTGACAATGCCACGAAAGTTCCTTTTAGGGACTTACCCCCAAAAGCTAACTCACTGCCACCGAGTGAATGCCAACTCATAAGGACCCTACAGGCCAGGGCGAACTGCCCCTGTGGGGTTCCCAGACTGCAACTTTTTACAGGACTGGAGGGACAGAGTAAAATGGCCCCAAACGGTTTCCAAGGCTGTAAATCTCCCAAGAAACAGACTGCCACATCTTTCTCCCAGGGAGCAGTTGGGTTTGAGTCCCGCTACGTTGCCCAGTCTCCTTAGGAGAATGGCAAAACAAAAAGACATCCGTCTGACCATGGGGCATCCGCCGACAGATGTAACCTGAGTGCCTCAAAACTGCCAATATCGCCAACGCTTGTGTACAAATGTGCTTGATACAACTGATGCATGGATTGTTATAAGAGCTGTAAGCCCCCAATAAGAAGATGAATAATCTTCTTACAATCATCAAACATAAGAAAAATCTCAAAAACAGTCACTGACAAGAGGAACTTTGTAGACGGGACAGCAAAATGGGTGCTAGGACCAGAAAACAGACACTGATTGGGTCCACACTGAGGACATGCCAAAAAAGTATACTTTCCACTCATGGTGGTGCAGTGGATTAAGCACTGGGCTGCTCACCGAACCCTTTCCCCCTAACTGCTACAAAGCCTTCTATATGATGTAACCCCCTTCCTATATGCCCACCAGCCCTTCCTCAGGAGAAAGCTGAGGCTGGCTGTTCCCAGAAATATCTACAGCCTCGAAAGCCTGCACAGGGTCAAAATGAGTGGGAGTCAAATCACTGTCAGTGGGCTTGGTTTTGTCTGTTTGTTTACAAGTTGTGCTACTAACTGCAGGTCAGCAGTTCAAAACCACTTTCTCCGAGGGAGAAAGACAAGGCTTTCTCCTCCCATAAAGAGTTACAGTCCCAGAGATCCACAGGGGCAGTTCTACCCTGCCCTATAGGGTCGCTATGATTTGGAATCAACTCGAAAACTGTTTTCAGTTTTGATTTTGGTTTGGGTTAATAATAGTGGCTTACTATGGGCGCATGCACGGGAACAAGGGCCCTACGCTAAAGCAAGGTGTGCATACCAGAGGGCATGGGGTTTGGAGTCCACAGGGACTGTACTATCTTCACAACTTCTCCATAAATTTAAAACGGTCCTTACAAAAAAACAAAAAACTCAAGTTTATCAAAAAGAAAAAACATTTTAAACAAGATTCCAGGGCTGTCCCTGAGGTCATCCCAGTCACCCATCTGGCTGCCACCATGCACCACTTGCCAAAAAAAACTATTTTAAAAACCCCTCCCATCAGATTTGGCTTGGAAACGATTTCCCCGGAAATCTCCCCTGCAAAATAAAAAAGTAATAATAATAAAGTTGGTTGATTGGGAATCTGGGCGGGGTGTATTAGTTCCCTGCAAAACACGACTTTAATCTTAACCAACACAAAGGCCATTTGATGTGCACGGGGATCGTTTGCAGATTCTTAATTGTATCTTTTCAAAGACAAGAAAGGCTTCCAGATTGCAGCTCTAGAAGGACCAGTCTCTTTCGATGGCTAATTACTTCCATCTCCAGCTAACACGCACAATGATCGCTAATTACCATCTCCCGGATTCCAGGGAAGGCAAGATCCCAAGTCAAAAGGCACCTTCCACCAGGGGTGGCCAAGGACTGAGGGACAGGACAAGCCCCCCTGAGTGGGATGGGGGGGGTGTTGTATTTCTTTGTTTTATTTCAGGACGAACTGCTACCCAGAGAAGTAGAGAGTTTGTGTGTGCCGCCACCTCCGCCCCCGCTGACAATGTCTCCTGTGAAGCAAGTGAAATGACAGATGAGCCTCAGCCCGGCCTGGGGAAGTCCCCAGCACCAGCGACACAGGGCCACTGAAGGCGCTGACCAGCCGATGGTTACCCAGAAATAGCTTTTGTCTTCGGGGATTCCCACGCCAACTCTCCCCACACCCAACCCCCTCCACAGGACTCGGATCCAGGAGCATTTAACCCGTTCTAGAAGCCCAGCCGGATCCACTTGGGGGTGATTCGCTAAACACAGCAGCCACAGGACCCAGGGAGGAAATAGGCCGATCCTAAGCGCAGTCACACTACCCGCCCCATGCGCTGAACGCAGACAACCCCTTCCTTCGTGGCAACTACAAGTCGCCAATAAACGAGCGTCCCAGGCGAGGGGGCGCGCGGCCGGCTGGCTCAAAGTGCCTTCAGGGAGGGGACCGGCCTCCCGCGCCCTGATACTTAGGCTGTTGCAAGCTCTTTCTGCACAGCCCCCTCCCCACGGACTCCACTCCTTTGCTTTCTCGTCGCCTCCCTCCAAAGGCACATAAATCCTTGCCCTCGGACCACCCAGGACCAGGCAAGCGGCCAGCCGGACCCCTCCCCCAGCCCTGGGCTCGCACCCTCGCGCTCTGCCAACCGCGCCTCCGGGGAAAGTCGCCGTAACTCGAAACCGCCGCCGCCCACGGGGCAAGAGCGCGCCCACCGCCCTCTAGGGGTGGACGCCGTCACTGCGCAGCGCATCCCCTCCTCTCACCTGGGCAGGGAGGCGAACCTCCCCCACCCAAGACGCCCGCCGAAGACGCGTGACGTCTGGGGCCCGGGGGACCCTCGAGCCCCCTCCCCAGCGCCAAGTCCCCGGCCGGGCTGGAGACCAGGCCGGGGGCCGCGGGGCGCCTCCACCGACCTTCGATGGGATTCAAATAGTCATAGTCGAAGAGGATGGAGAAGTCCAGCTCGTCCTGGGGGCTGCCCCCGGGCTCGTGGCCTGGGGCGTCCCCGCCGTCGGGGTCGGGCTGCTGCTCCAGGGCGTCCATGGCGCGGGAGCTGGTGGGGCGCGGGGAGAGCGCGGACTCGCGCGCACCTCGCCGGGTTCTGGGCCCCTGGCCGGGGTGGCGGCAGGCAGGCAGCGGAGCGCCGAGGCGGGCGACGCGGGGGTCACTTTCCTCGTGGGGACGC